AAATAGAAGTCTTTTAACCATTGTCTGGCTGGCATTTTTTTTCACAATATTTTTCAATTATTTTATGTCTTGATCAGGTCAAAGACCGGACTTTTTTTGCCCTGCGGTGACATAGTTACTTCCACATTCGTTTTGCTGTGGTGAGAAAATATACAGGTTGCTATAATATAGATGGTACTGTATGTGCAAACCATGGGCTCTGCAGGACAAGGGTTAATAACTGTCAATTTCTTTCCTCAAAATTTGGACAAATTTTGTTTAGAATGTAGCATAGTTACTTCTGCATTTACGTCGATGAAGGTTAGACATCCAGGTAATACGATATGCCAAAAAACAGTTACTCAAGCAACTGGATATGATTTTGAAAACGTCAGACGTTTCAGCTAGTATCCACTAGCTTTCGTCAGTGACTGAGAGACCAGAGGGGAAAGCAGGTTTATATACACAACCTGTTGATTGATATGCAAATAAAGTGAAGACAAATTTTTGGAAGTCGAAAAAGGAACAAAAGTTAGACAAGTCAAGACAAGATGATGCAAATTAGTCTGAAAGCTCCTGTATTACAGGACAGGAGCTTAAGTGTTGTCTGTGTTAAAGGGGTGTTAAAGAGGCAATATATGAAAGTTAAAGAGCCTGGCTGGCATTTTTTTTCACAATATTTTTCAATTATTTTATGTCTTGATCAGGTCAAAGAGGCAATATATGAAAGAATGTACAACCCCACCCTCAACAGGGAAGGGGGGCTACGGGTCGATCTTTCCGGCACTTGGGATTTGGCACTCCCAGCCCCGAGGACAGACAACACTTAAGCTCCTGTCCTGTATAACAGGAGCTTTCAGACTAATTTGCATCATCTTGTCTTGACTTGTCTAACTTTTGTTCCTTTTTCGACTTCCAAAAATTTGTCTTCACTTTATTTGCATATCAATCAACAGGTTGTGTATATAAACCTGCTTTCCCCTCTGGTCTCTCAGTCACTGACGAAAGCTAGTGGATACTAGCTGAAACGTCTGACGTTTTCAAAATCATATCCAGTTGCTTGAGTAACTGTTTTTTGGCACATGTAGTAGTAGGCTTGAGAACAAAGTCATTGCAAAAGGCATGCAGTATTTCAACAAGAATGGCTATTCACATCATTATACAAATTGAAAGCAACAACAAAGAAGAGAAGCTGTTACATTTAGTAACTAGTAGAAGGTGTTTAACCATTGTTGATAACATTGTGACATGACTGACACTTTCCATTGGTTCTGTTCCCATGAATCTCTGCAGGCTTTCCAACCATTCTTTGTATCCACCACTCTTCCCTACTCTGTGATCAGGGGTGAGGAGGTACCACTCAAAGTCTCCATCTTCAACTACATGCAACAGTGCCAAGTGGTGAGTCCTGAGCATTGTTTGTCACACTATTTTCCCTTTAGACTATCCTTAAAAGCTCATTACACACACCCCATTTTGGCTTCCTAACAACTTGAAATATCCAGTCTATGACCTGAAATTAGTCTTGAGAAGTTGACTGTATACTTGGCCAGGTAAATTGTCATAAAAAGTTCCAGTTCATAAAAAGTCTTATGTAGCCAGGAAAGTGTTCTAAGCAGTCAGGAGGGAATCTTTCAGTAGTTAGGAACCATGAGGAAGTCAAACAGTAAAAAAAAAAGGGGTGTCTTCCATCTCTGATAGACTTGTGTTTTGAAAATGTTGTAATGATTTTTTTTCTTTCTATGCTACAGATTAAGTTGACACTACTGAAGTCAGAGGACTTGGATTTGATTGACAAGGACAGGACACGTCAGGTGTGTGTGTGTCCTGTGGTGTCCAAGACCGAGACGTTCAACATCATCCCAAGGATGCTGGGGAAGATCAACATCTCCGTGGTGGCTGAGGCTGTGGAGGATGATGAACTGACATGTGGGAACGCCCCAGTCGTCAAGCCCACTGAGGGAGCCAGGGACGCCATTGTTAAGGAGCTTCTGGTCGAGGTAGTGCAGACAAAATTTTAGATTTCCTACAGCAGAGCGTCAGATTCCCTTTCAAGATAACCTATCAGTTAAATCTAGTAACACTGGTCAGTTTAAATCGGGAAGTTCAGTTTCCCGATTTCGAGGCGGCCATCTTGGCGATCCCATTTTCTAACTTTTTTTCTACTCAAGATACAGTTCACTTTTACATGTCATTGGAAAGAGCATGATTTCCCCTGCATCATGATGTCTTTAATTTGGTCATAACATGTAACATTATGAAGATATTCCGTTTTGAAAGTTGCCCAACCCAGTGGTCTATTGGCTGGTCCATATGAACAGTACACAGACCACCCTTGGTTATGGATAGGCCACAGTGGTCTACCAGTAACCCACTCCAATGCTAATGACATATAATTGGCCATTCCACCCTGTAAAAAACACTCGCATAATGAGTTATCACACTTTGCTTGTCAGTGTAATTAGCACATGTCTGACAGTTTTACCAGTGGAATGACTCATTTGCATGGCCCTTCGGCCTTCATCAAGTCCAGTGGCCTAAGT